GGCGGGGCGTGAGCCCCACCCCTGGATTTTTTTTTTTTTAATGTAAAGATTTTGCCATAGGGTGTGTGCACTGGCCAGAGAAAACGAGAGACAGAGACAGTGAGAAAGTGAGAAATCACTCTGCCCTCAAGGGGGGATGGCTATGCCACAACCTCTTCTCCATTCTCCTTCTAGGATCTTGGGTGGGCACGCACACACGTTTCAAGCCACCAGGTCTGAGATTTAAACTGGTCGGTTACACAGTGGTCCAGTGACGTAACTGTTACATCATCAGCCGGCTCAACTTATGTTTTTGTTTTGTTTAGAGTTTTTTGCTATAGGGCGCGTGCGCTTGCCAGAAAGACAGAGACAGAGAGACAGAAAGTGAGAAATCACCCGCTGGAGGGGATGGCTACACAGCAATCCCTTCTCCTCCACTCTCCTCTTGGGATCTTGGACACGCACACCTATTCGCCCGGTGTGAGTTCAAGCCACTGGGTCTGAGACTCAAACCACAGTCGACTATATGGGAGTCCAACGACATAGCCATTATGCCAACTGCTGGTCCCAATATCTTTTTTTTTTTTTTTTTAATTTGCTAGTGTGCACGTGGTCATGCTCCTCCTCCATCTCCCCATCCTATTGGGAGTTGGGGCACACATACATATAGTGTTTTTTTATTTTTTTTTTTGAGAGATTTTCGCTATAGGGCGCGTGCGCTCACCAGACAGACAGAGAGAGACATAGAGACAGAAAGCGAGAAATCACCCCCCAGGGGGGATGGTCACGCCGCAATCCCTTCTCCTCCATTCTCCTCTCGGGATCTTGGGCACACACGCACATGCACCCGGCGTGAGTTTTAAGCCACCGGGTCCGGGACACGAACTGCGGTCGACTACGTGGGAGTCCAGAGACATAGCCATTAAGCTAACTGCTGGTTTCCACATATAGTGTGTTTTTCAAGCTACCAGGGCTGGGATTCATTCGAGCTATGGCTGGCCATGGTGAGTATAGCTCCCTTACCCACTAGGCTATGAAGCTGGCCCAAGAGTCAAGTCTTGATTTAAAAATATTTTATTCTTTAGAAAATACAGCATTCAGCCATCCCGTCCTGCAGTGACTCCTGCCTCAGCCTCAATGACCCCATCCCTTGTGGCCACAGGCTCCGGGCTGTGCTGGGACCCAGTCTGTTCCCCTGGAGGCCAGGTTCATGTCAGGTTCCACACAGGGCCCGGGCACACAGATGAGCACAGACAGCGATGGAGAAGGGTCACAGAATGGCAGCCCAGTGTCCCTGGGCAGCTGCAGGTGTGTTCAGCCCCAGCCCCTCTTGCCTTACAGGAAGCGCTTCCAGGAGCCTGGGCTGGGAAGGAGGGTGGTGGCCGGGAGCAGCGGGGCAGGCAGCCCACAGTCCACACGCCAGCCCGGCTCAGGCCCAGCCGCCTAGCTGTCATCTCCATTCTCACCAGGGCCGCGGATGAGGCGCTTGTGGCCCCGCTTGCCCCCAGGACCCTTGGGCTTGGCAAAGGCCTGCTTGAAGGCATGTTGCTTGGGGTGCACCTCATCGTACAGGAACTCGGCTGTCAGCTCCGCCCCATCGCCAATCTCGATCTGCGTGGGGTGAGGCAGTGGTCACCTAAGGGTGGGATCCCCCATATTCCCAGGGCACCCCCTTGAGCTCTCCCTCCAGCCCTGGGGTCTCCTCTCAGATCCCCACCTGGAATGCCACCTCCAGGAACAGAGCTGGAACCTGTCGCCCTTGACCTCTGCTCCCCTGGCTCACCCCTCCCCACCCTGCAGACCTGGCAAGAGACTGTGGTGGTGAGGGGCCGGGCTTATCTGTGCCCCCATCAGCTGGGCCGACTGGAGCCACCCAGGTTGCCAGGGGTCTCAAGCTCCCCACCCATCCTGCTGGCTGCCGTCTGAGGATTCCAAAGCCCCACATGGAGGCCAGGGTGACAGGGCCCTGGGGACAGTGCCTACCTTCTTGGCAATCTCCAGCTGGAAGTCTTGCTCAGCAGAATCGAGGAGGCGGCTCTTGCAGCTGGAGTAGAGCATGCGCTCCCTGATGCTGCACTTGTAGCCCGGCATGGAGTAGATGAACACTGCGGGGACAGGAAGCTGAGCCAGGCGGCCTGCCACACTGCCGGCCCTCACCCCAGCCCCAGCCAGCGCTGCCCCCACCACAGGCTCGGGGACCCTGCGCGGCAGCCCTCGTGGGTGTGCTTGTAGAGGAAGAAGTGGTAGCGGGCCGCATCTCGGGGCACCCGGGAGGGCAGCCGGGCCACGTCCGTGGGCTCCGTGTGCACCAACTCGATGGTCTCCCGCTCCAGGTCCAGCTTCTGCAGAGGGGCGGGGGGAGCTGTGGGCACCAGGAGGGAGGGCCCCGGCCACACCACCAAACCTGAACCCTGAAACAGGACTGGCTCATAACCTCCCAGGGTTCCCCTCCCCAGTGGCCATCCCCTTATGGGGATCCCTCTGAGGAGGCCACTCCTGGGCCCAGCCCCAACTCTGCCCAGTGGACAGCTCTTCTCGAACAGGGACTCCCAAGGGCAGTGGAGGGGACGGTACAGAGGGTCTCAAGTTGGGGAGGCACCATCACTGGGCCCATCCATCTTCCACCTTAGAAGGAAGGAGCCATTTTGCTTGAAGGGGAGCCTGAACACAGGGCAGAGGGACCCTGCCCAGAAAAACGGGGGTCAAAGGGCTGCAGAGGGTGTCCAGGCAGAAAGAGGCTCCATGCTAAGGGGCAGCATGATCCCTGGGGTGTCTGTGCAGAGGGGAACAGGCGGTGCACTCACAGGGTATCTGTGTGTGGACAGGGCCCAGGGCAGGGTGCATGCACCCATGGACATGGTGGCTGCACCAGTCCCTTAGGAAGGAGCAGGGTGGGGTGGGGGTGGACGGCATGTAAACGGGTGGGCTGAAGTAGACAGGCTGCAGGCGGGTGGGCGCTGCGTCTGAGGGGACTCGATGCACAAGCACACGTGTGAGTGGGAGCAGGGGTGGGGAACATGCCCCTCAGGCGTGTGCCGGGCAGGGTGAGGGCCCCTACCAGCTGGATATAGTCGATCAGCTTCTGCCTGAGCTGCTGAAGCGCCCGCTGGGCCTCGGGTTGCAGGGGGAAGGCGAGGCCCTGCAGGGTCTGGTGCTTGCTTTCCACGCTGATCTCTGTCTTCACCTGGGGGCGGTAGAACGATGAGGAGGCCCTTACCTGCCTGAGCTGGCACGTGTCCTGCCGGAAGCATGGCTCTTCCAGGGGGCCTGGCACTGGGACTTCTGCCCATGTGCCTGGTGCACTCACCTCATTGATACGGATCTGCTGAAGCTCTCTCTCCGCTGAGGTCAGCGGGGCAGGCGCCGCACAGGACGACAGGTGCTTCTGGTACCCGGCGAAGGACAGGTCATCCTGGGGGCAAGGGGAGGCAGCGCCATAAATGACACACTGAGAGGCCTCAGGAAGTCACCGAGCACCCAGCTGGTAGCCCCTGCATGCCTCCACCTCCCCATCTTGTGCCCGAGCCAGGCAATTGCTTGCTCTGAGACCCCACACCATGCCCCGCCCTCTGAGGGCCCAGGATCCAGCTGGGGCCCTGGCCCAGAGGTACCTTCACAGTGCCAAAGAGCTCATCCTTGATGTGGCCGCCCCCGAACTCCTTCTTCACCGTGGCCCGCGTGGCTGCGTACAGCATCTTCAGCCGTACCTGGAGGGTTGAGGGGCCAAACTGTGGGACCTGGCTGGGCAGAGCTGTCCATCCAGGAGCAGGCAGGAGCCTCTGCGTGGGGTCTGCTCAACACTGCGCCACAGGCCCGGCAGGGGGCGCAGCACGCGCTGAGGACATGGCAGGGCAGCTCCCACCAGCAGAGGGAGCCCGCTTCCGGTCCACCCCAGCCTCCAGGAACCAGGCTGGTGCCACTAGGGACCCCGGGATCCAAGCACGGAGCCCTGTTCCTCTCTGACTCTGGGGTAGTGTCTGACATGTCTTCACGCAGACTGCCTGGCAGGTCTGTTTTCCCCCACCTTAGCCTCCCCAGGGCAGATCTGTTGCCCCTTAGTCCTCTCAGGGCAGATCTGTTGCCCCTTAGTCCTCTCAGGGCAGGTCTATCCCACCTTCGTCCTCTCCGGGCACGTCTCTTCCCCA